CGGCTGCTCTACTTCCAATCCAGCTTTGTGCTGTGGCCTGGGAAAGCAGCGAAAGGTGGTCCAAGTCCTCAGGCCCCTGAACCCACATAGGAGATTGGGAGGAAGCTCCTGGCTTCCTCTGACATTCAAATAAATAAATAAATATTTAAAAAAAAGAAATTACCAGCTGTTTGAGACCAAAAAAAGATTAGGAATAAAAGTGGAATTTCCCAAATTAATGGCATTTTATTTCATAAGATTAAACCATATTATTTTACATTTCTAGCAAGCGTGTCTTCTGAAATATGTAATTATTATATGTGCAAAAACATACCTCTATCATGTATCAAATACATACAGAGAAAGAATATGAAATTGCTAAGAGCTAAAAATCTGATTCAGTGTCTTTTTTTTTTAAAGATTTATTTATTTATTTGAAGGTTGGAGTTACACAGAGAGAGAGAGGTTCACTCCCAACTGGCCACAATGGCCAGGGCTGTGCCGATCTGAAGCCAGGAGCCAGGAACCTCCTCCGGGTCTCCCATGAGGGCACAGGGGCCCAAGGACTTGAGCCATCTTCCACTGCCCTCCCAGGCCATAGCAGAGAGCCGGATTGGAAGTGGAGCAGCTGGGTCTCGAACCAGTGCCCATATGGGATGCCAGTGCTTCAGGCCAGAGCATTAACCTGCTGCGCCACAGCACCAGCCCTTCTATGTCTACTTTCTATACTCTCTTTCTTCCCTCTTACTAGAATGCTCCTGCTTCCCTTGCCATTTAACTCTTTTTTAAAAAATTATTTATTTGTTTGAAAAGCAGAGTTACAGAGAAGCAGAGGCAGAGAGACAGGAGAGAGAGAGAGAGGGAGAGAGAGAAAGAGAGAGAGAGGCCTTCCATCTGCTGGTTCACTCCCCAGATGGTCAGAGACTTGAACTGGTGCCCATATGGGATGCAGGTGGTTGCTTTACACGCTATGCCACAGCACCAGCCCTACCATTTAACTCTTGATTGATACCATGTTTTTTTTTTTTAAAGTATAGACTTATTTGAGAGGCAGAGTTACAGACAGAGAAAGGGAGAAGACGGAGAGAGAGGTCTTCCATCCTCTAATTCACTCCCCAACTGGCTGCAATAGCTAGAGCTGGATGGATCCAAAGCCAGGAGTCAGGAGTTTCCTCAGGGTCACCCACATGGGCACAAGGGTCCAAGCACTTGGGCCATCTTCCACTGCTTTCCCAGACCATAGCAGAGAGCTGGATTGGAAGAGGAGCAGCCAGGATACAAACTGGCACCCATATGGGATGCCAGCACCACAGGGGAAGGCTTAGCCTACTACGCCACAATGCCAGCCCCAAGTCTATGTCTTTAGAGACATTAGATTAGTATCTTGCTCAAGGTTTTATTTCCCATTAAACCTGGACCAGAATCTTATTTTTGTCTTTCAAACTTAAGTTACCAGACAACTGGTATATCTTTAGCAAGAAGATACTGTATTTGAGAATTCTTTCTCTTGATAATCACATAGAAGGATTTGAAATTCTTCTGTTCCATGGAAATAAGAAAACCATGAACAAAATTAAAGCCATACTTTTCTATAGTGTATGCAGAACACCCTTGATGGACAAAGTTACAGAAGAGAAATGAGCCTTTTATAGATGAGCAAAGATCGAAGTAGCTCCCACACATTGGGCAGGAGACTGGCCTGGGTAGAGACAAATAGAAGAGAGGGTCTGCCATTGACAAAGACGTTGCAGGAGAAGGATGTATGAGAGGACACTTAGGTGACAGATGGGCTGGCAAGACAGATTGGGATCTGGAAGAGCCCCAAGTGGAAGACAAATATTTTTGTTCAACAGTTTTCATCCCTCTGCAGATTTTTTTCTGAGAAAGTGGCACCGAGAAGTGACTGGAAAACAGAGGCAAATTGTACGTTACCATCTGTTTTATAATAATTGGATTCTGAGGTTTTAATCTAAAAGTAAACTGAAAATACTGAAACTGAAGTCCAATCCCTTCCCATATAAAATATTGATAAGATTTAAAAGGCAGTGGTGAAGGAGGCTGGAGAGTTAGCCTAACTGCAGGTGCATTCAATGTAATTAAGGTTTTGGTTTCATCCTGGTTCAGGTGAATTCTAAAGGGAATTTTGAGGATTTCTTCTCACTCCCAACTGCCAGA